CCCCTGCTCATGTGCTCTCTCTCTCTTGCTCACTCTCTCTCTCAAATAAATAAATAAAAGCTTAAAACACACACACACACACACACAAGCCAGGACGCCTGGCTGGCTCGGTCGAGAAACATACAACTCTTGATCTTGGGGTTGTGAGTTCAAGCCCCACGGGGGTGCAGAGATTACTTAAATAAATAAAACTTAAAAAAATAATACAAACCAAGAACAGATGAAAACTTCCATAAACTGACAAAAGAAATCTACCAGAAACCTTCAGTAAGATTCATATCTAATAGTGAAACACTGGAAGCATTCTCATTCAGGAAAAAGATAAAAATGCCCATTATCATCACTGCTATTCAACTTTTGTACTGGAGAGTCTAGGCATTGCAATAACGGAAACAACAAAATATGTGGTGTGGAGATTAGAAAGAAGCCTGGTCAATTACATCTTCTAATCAAAGTAGCCCAGTAAGTAAACACTTTGATGCATCCCCTCCACTCCAAATACACAGCAATAGATAAAATATTTTTTAAATATATTTTTAAATAACTTGGGGTGCCTGGCTGGCTCAGTCGGTAGAGCATGTGACTCTTGATCTCAGGGTTGTTAGGTTCAAGCTCCACATTGGGTATAGAGATGACTTAAAAATAAAATCTTTAAAAAAAAAAGAAAAGAAATATTAGGGCGCCTGGCTGGCTCAGTTGGAAGAACATGCAATTCTTGATTTTGGGGTCATGAGTTTGAGCCCCATGTTGGGTGTAGAGATTACTAAAAAATAAAATAGACTTAAAAAAAATATATGGTATACAGATATAGACTTGGAAGAAGAGTAAATACTTTGTTATCAATTACTTGCAATACTTTAAATTTGGAATAGAGAAAAGGTTCTAACAAAAGTGAAAGGAGGTAAAGAGGTAGAAATGCAATGTGCCCAAAGAATCAGAGAAAGAATGTAGTGGAAAGTAAGCCACTGAAAGAAGAAACAGGTACCTCTAGTGTGCTAAAGACAAACCTCCTAGTTCTTCCTAAAACCTGCTATGGGTTGCTTAGTTAATGAGAGGAAATTTTAGCCCTAACAAAGATTCTAAACTACTTACCTAATAAGGAAATACTAAAAGTATATGAACAATAAAAGGTACACTCCTGAAAGGACATGCAAAGCTCTAGTTGTCAGTCATATTTCAGAAAACATATCCTTGCTAGTTATTTCCATAGTTAACCTTGTTCCTAGAGATTTTTTTTTTTAAGATTTTATTTATTTGTCAGAGAGAGCACAAAGCAGGAAGAGCGACAGGCAGAGAGAGAAGTAGGCGCCCTGCCAAGCAAGGAGCCCGATGTGGGACTCGATCCCAGGACCCTGGGATCATGACTGAGCCGAAGGCAGATGCTTAACTGACTGAGCCACCCAGGTGCCCCCCTGAAGACTTTTTTTTAGACAGATATTAAGAATGACTTTTTCAAATGACTTTGGAATTAATGAAAAGAAAAGAAAACCAATTAAACAGCAGTGTGCAACGGTGCCCACTTGGCTCAGTTGGTAAAGCATGCAGGACTCCTGATCTCAGGAGTTGTGAGTTCAAGCCCCACACTGGGTGTGGAGATTACTTAAAAATAAAATCTTAAAATAATTAATTAATAGCAGTGTGCAGCCTTCACATAGAAAGATGTTAACAATTCCTTCTCTGTGTTCTCATATCTTTAATTTCAGTTAACACATTTGTAGTAATGCTTATGAGCTACAAAAACCAAAACTAAGCAATGGAGAATCAGAATGGGAGGGCTTACAAATGACCTAACGCAGACCCCAAATTTTGAGCATCCAAATAAATGTCTTGGCCCAGGTGACAGTTATACTTCACAAGAAAGAACTGGAAATAGAAACCCAGAACCCCTAACTCTTGGTCCATTATACCATCATTCTATATTAGTATAAAATGTAGTAAAAATTATAAACCAATATGAAAAAGACGATGCAACAGAAAAAAAAAGGTAAATGATGAAAACAAGCAAATCACAGAAGAGGAAATCTAAAGAGCCAATAAAATCATTGAGCAATGTTCAATCTCACTAGTAATCAGAAAAACCTATATTAAAAACCAAAATAAGATTATATTGTTCATCCAGCAGATTGGCAAAAATTAGAAAGCAGGGAAGCAATGGAAGCCACACACCACTGGTGCAAATGTTAACTGGTAAAACCACTTCAGAACGGAACTGAGTAATACCTGCTGAAGTTGAAGATGTGCATGGCACACGAGCCAGTGTTTCAGTCCCAGGTACATGCTCTAAAAGACACACATGTGTGCACAAGGATATGCGACAAGACTATTCATTGCAGCATTATTTGTAATAGCAAAAAAAAAAAAGAAAGAAAGAAATCCAGAACAAACGAACTGCCAATCCACAGAAAAATATAAAAGTAAACTGTGACATAGTCAAAAAACAGAATCCTAAATCTGCCAAGATGAAAGCAGTACAGGACGTATACCCATATAGATGAGTCTCACGATACTGAGAGGGAAAAAAAACAAGTTACAAAAAAAAATAATTAATACTGTTAATATAAAGTTTTTTAAATGCAAAATAATGTACGTTTCAGGGCTATTTACGTATGTAATAAAAATATGAAAATATGTATAGGAATGAAAAGCATTGAATTCAGAACCGTAGTTCCCTCGAAAGGGGAAGAGAATACAATTGGGTAGGAGTTACGTCAGGATTCAACCTTAAAAGGAGCCTGGTTTCTTGAGCAGTATGTACAGAGGTATCACTATTTTTATTCTCCATATCTTTTTGAAAGTCAATGTTTCATAATGTCCACAAAATTAAAATAAACTCAAGGTCCAACCAAAATAGTTTACTCCAGAGCCCACATGCTTAACCATGACACTTTTCATTCTGTTTCCTTAAGAAAGATTTAGTCATTATAAGAAATCTCTCAAGAAGATGTAAAACATCAGACTGGGAAAAAGCAATGCAGTACCTAACTAAAGAAAAAGTCTCGGGGGCGCCTGGGTGGCTCAGTTGGTTAAGCGACTGCCTTCGGCTCAGGTCATGATCCCGGAGTCCTGGGATCGAGTCCCACATCGGGAATCCCGGCTCAGTGGGGAGCCTGCTTCTCCCTCTGACCCTCTCCCCTCTCATGCTGTTTCTCTCTCTCTCTCAAATAAATAAATAAGTAAATCTTTAAAAAAAAAAAAAGAAAGAAAGAAAGAAAAAGTCTCGGGGTACCTGGGTGGCTCAGTCGTTAAGCGTCTGCCTTCAGCTCAGGTCATGATCCCAGGGTCCCAGGATCGAGCCCCACGTCCGGCTCCCTGCTCAGCGGGGAGTCTGCTTCTCCCTCTCCCACTCCCTCTGCTTGTGTTCCCTCTCTTGCTGTCTCTCTCTCTGTCAAATAAATAAATAAATAAAATCTTGAAAAAAAAAAAAGAAAAAGTCTCTTAAGGAAAACATACTGGAGACACAAAGTGGTCCTATCACCATGCTCAGGAATCACGTCGGTAAGCCAAAACACAAAACTCAAGTTGAACTGGAACGACAGTCTTCTTTAAAGACAGCATGTAGAAAGGACTCTGAAGTCTGCCCCGGGGTTCAAATACTAGCAGGGTCACTGATTAGCTGTATGGCCCCCTAAAGAAGTTTTAACTTCTCTGAGCTCAGTTTCCTCACCCATATACTCGAGATATCATACCTAGCTTCCAAACTTATAAAGATTAAAGAATAGTCCTTATCTATGAAAAGCACCTGATACACTATAGCCTCACAATAAATAATATTATTACTCACAGAAGAAAGTCTCTCTCTGGCAAGAGGAGACAGAGCAGAGAGAAAAGTTAAAAGGAGGGAGTAAAGAGTCTACAAAAAGAAGCCAGGAAGAAGTGGGAATGGTTAGGGGCTGAACAAATCCTTGAAGAGTCCCAGAAGTTACCCAAAAAATTGTTGTTGTTGTTTTTAAAAAATTGTATTTATTTATTTGACAGAGAGAGATGCAGCGAGAGAGGGAACACAAGCAGGGGGAGTGGGAGAGCGAGAAGCAGGCTTCCCACGGAGCAGGGAGCCTGACGCGGGGCTCGATCCCAGTGGGATCATGACCTGAGCCGAAGGCAGACACTTAACAACTGAGCCACCCAGGTGCCCCCCAAAAATTGTTTTAACTGAGGACTATTTCATTATAGTGAAGCTTAGTTAAAAGAATATTTAGCCCAGACCTGATTATTATAGCATTTTAGTTCTGTATTGCTTATTTATAATGTTGTTAATACACAAAAATTCAAGATCAAAGTTGAGTTTTCTAAAGATTCATTTTTTGTTAAAAAATGCATTATCAAGTAAATCATATACAATATATGTTTCTCTCAGTTATCTGCAACTCAAAAAGTTGTCTGTCCTACTCTTAACATATTAAAGAGAAAACAATGATAATTTCAACAAATGCCAAAAAAAAAAAAAATTCAACACCCAATAAAAATATAAACCAGGGGCGCCTGGGTGGCTTAGTTGGTTAAGTGTCTGCCTTCGGCTCAGGTCATGATCCCAGGGTCCTGGGATGGAGCCCCGCATCAGGCTCCCTGCTCAGTGGGGAGTCTGCTTCTGCCCCTGCTCATGTGCTCTCTCTCTCTTGCTCACTCTCTCTCTCAAATAAATAAATAAAAGCTTAAAACACACACACACACACACACAAGCCAGGACGCCTGGCTGGCTCGGTCGAGAAACATACAACTCTTGATCTTGGGGTTGTGAGTTCAAGCCCCACGGGGGTGCAGAGATTACTTAAATAAATAAAACTTAAAAAAATAATACAAACCAAGAACAGATGAAAACTTCCATAAACTGACAAAAGAAATCTACCAGAAACCTTCAGTAAGATTCATATCTAATAGTGAAACACTGGAAGCATTCTCATTCAGGAAAAAGATAAAAATGCCCATTATCATCACTGCTATTCAACTTTTGTACTGGAGAGTCTAGGCATTGCAATAACGGAAACAACAAAATATGTGGTGTGGAGATTAGAAAGAAGCCTGGTCAATTACATCTTCTAATCAAAGTAGCCCAGTAAGTAAACACTTTGATGCATCCCCTCCACTCCAAATACACAGCAATAGATAAAATATTTTTTAAATATATTTTTAAATAACTTGGGGTGCCTGGCTGGCTCAGTCGGTAGAGCATGTGACTCTTGATCTCAGGGTTGTTAGGTTCAAGCTCCACATTGGGTATAGAGATGACTTAAAAATAAAATCTTAAAAATAAATATATATATATATTTTTTTCTTTTTAATGACTTAAGCAGGCTCAAAAACAAGATAAAACTCCATTTGGATCAGAAACAAAACAGATACACAAAAATGTAAGCAGGACTGAAGCTACAGGCTTGCTAGACGCTGAGTCCAGAAGCAGGTGCGTACCTTCTGCAGGGTGACAGTGACAAAATAAAGGAGGTGGAGAAACAGGAGACATCAGAACCAGACTCACCGCTTAAAGCCAAGGATGAAGCTGGAGCTGAACGGAAGCTACAAAATACTGCTGCCAGTCTCTGCCTAGAGCTACGGTTTATGTAATGCTTTAGGCCTAGAAAAGTGGGAAGATAAAAACACAGCCTCATGACCAGGAACTGAACCAAGACATTCACATACTCTGTGAATCGATCTAAAATAGACCCAATTATCTCAAAGAGTAGGACCCCCTGACCCACCATTATTATACCTGACTTCTTGACTATTGTCCAAAAAGTCAATGGGAACACCTGAAATATCTCACAGAGAAGGGTGAGCACAGAAATAAGGAAAACAAAATCAAAAGCACTCACACTCGAATGAGTCTGTAAACAAAACTTCAAAAGACATAAAGAAATATAATGCTAAGATGGCCAACAAAAGCAACAATTAGAATAAGAATTCATTCCAGATGAAGTTTAATTTTAGAGAACAGTCTGACAAAGACTTATTTTTTAAGTACATTTAGGGTGCGAGGATATACATTTCTTTAATTAATGGGAATGCAAAATTGTACAGCCACTTCGGAAGGCAGTTAGGCAGTTTCTTATAAAGCTAAACTCTTACCATGCAATCCAGCAAAAATGCTCCTATGTATTTACTGAAAAGAGTTGAAAACCTGTATCCAAACAAAAACCTGAACATGAATATTTAGACATTTCACTCATAATTGCCCAAAACTGGAAGTAACCAAGATGTCCTTCAATAGGTGAATGGATAAACAAACTGGTACTGGAATATTATTTAACAATAAAAAGAAATAAGTTACCCTGATGTTTACAGCAGCATTATCAATAATAGCCAAACTATGGAAAGAGCCCAAATGTCCATCGACTGATGAATGGATAAAGATGTGGTATATATATTGGAATACCACTCAACCATCAAAAAGAATGAAATCTTGCCATTTGCAATGACATGGATGGAGCTAGAGTGTATTATGCTAAGCAAAATAAATCAGAGAAAGACGAGTACCATATGATTTCACTCATGTGGAATTTAAGAAACAAAATGGATGAACATACGGGGGGGCGGGGAAAAGAGAGAGAGGGAAACAAATCATGAGATACTCTTAACTACAGAGAACAAACTGAGGGTTGATGGAGGGAGGTGTGTGGGGGATGGGAAAGAGGGGGCATGGGTATTAGGGAGGGCACTTGCCATGATGAGCACTGGGTGCTCTATGTAAGTGATGAACCACTGAACTCCTGAACCCAATATTGAACTGTATGTTAACTAGAATTTAAAAGAAGAAACAAACAAACAAACAATCAAGCCAAGAAAAGACATAGAGGAACTTTAAATGCATATTGCTAAGTGAAAGAGAACAGTCTGAAAGACTACAATACTGTATGATTTCCAACCGTATGTCATTCTGGAAAAGGCAAAACTATAGACACAGTAAAATAATCAGTAGTTATCAGGAGCTCAGGAGGAGGGAGGAAGGAATGCATAGATGGAACACGGGATTTTCAGGGCAATGAAATTATTCTGACAATAGTGCAATAACATTACATGAAATGTCATGTGCTGACATTAATGATGCATGACACTTTGCATTTGTCAAAATCCACAAAACACAAAGGACACAAAGAGAAGCCTAATAGATACTATGAACTTAAATTAATAATAATGTATCAACATTGATTCATCAGTTATAACAAAGGTACTACACTAAAACAAGATGTTAATAACAGGAGAAACTGCAGGTGGAGAAGAAGGGGTATATACTCTCTACTATCTACCCATTTTGGTCATATTCAGTCATGCACATAATTTTTTTTTAAATATCATGGACAGGGGCGCCTGGGTGGTTCAGTGGGTTGGGCGTCTGCCTTCGGCTTGGGTCATGATCCTGGGCTCCCTGCTCAGTGGGGAGTCTGCTTCTCCCTCTCCTGCTCCCCCTGCTTGTGCTCTCTCTCTCTCTCTGAAAAAAATAAACAAAAACCTTTAAAAAAAAAATATCATGGATAGGTCCACTTCTGTGTATATACACAAAAGAACTGAAAACAGGGACTTGAACACCATATTCATAACAGCATTATTCACAATAGGCAAAAGGTAGAAACAATCTGTGTCCACTGATAGATGAATAAATAAACAAATGTGTATATACATAAAATGGAAGCGTATTTAGCCTTAAAAAAGAAAGGAAATCCCGACACATGCTACAATATAAATGAACTCCAAAGACATGCTAAGTGAAATAGCCAGACAAAAGGACAAATATTGTATGATTCCACTTATATGAGGTACCTGGAGTAGTCACATTCATAGAGACAGAAAGCAGAATGGTGGTTGCCAGGGGCTGAAGAGAGGTGAAAATAAGGAATTGGTGTTTAGTGGGTACAGAGTTTCAGGTGGGGGAAGATGAAAAAGTTCTGGAGATAGACAGTGGTGATGGTTACACAACAATATGAAGGTACTTAATACCACAAATGTACACTTACAAATGGCTAAAATGGTCAACTGTATTTCATGTATATTTTACAATTGAAAAAAATGAGAAAAGGTGCTGAAAAACTGGTTATCTGAAGTGGGAAAAAAAGTCTCTCTTCATTATCGAATTGGGGGGAAAAAAAAGTCTCTCTTCATTACACCACATAGAAATTCCACATGGAAAGCAAAACTTTTTGGGGGGCGCCTGGGTGGCTCAGTCGTTAAGCGTCTGCCTTCAGCTCAGGTCATGATCCCGGGGTCCTGGGATCGAGCCCCACACTGGGCTCCCT